GAAATAAACGTTCTTTTAATTCATATTTTGTGCTTATTAATTGCTTTGAATACATTCGTAGATAATATCAGCTAATGTTATTTGGATAGTTCACTTCATAAATAGATGATTTTATTAAAGATGATTTTGATTTTTTTAATTAAAAGGTGTTGATGTAGATGATTTTAATTGAAGGGCGGTGATGCGAGTACGACTGAAGGAGATAAAAATGGCGATCAAGTGGGTAATAAAGTGGATAATAATGTTGCAGTGGCGGATTTGTTAGATCTGGAGTCAGAGTTGTTCAATTTAGAGCAGGGTGTTGAACAGCTGCAGAGTATACCAACTTTCTGCGAGGATTATCAAACTAATGGGTGTAATAACTATGCTAATTCAGACGATCAATGGCCTGTTCCATGCAATAATCAACAACAACTGAATGCATTTGCTAGTGACAACATAACTGATCAGATGAATGTGCAGAATAGTTTTAATGAACGATTGGCGTTGTCTTCAAACAACACAGCGAATCAGTTGAATGGTATCCACATGATCAATCCATTCAGCGATAACTATTATTCATATAATACTAGTAATAATGTCGCATCAACACCGGGCAATTTTCAACAACAACAACAGCAAAGTAACAATAATAATGGTACTAATAATCAGTTAATGGATAGTCAATTCAATGATTTTCATAAGCCTCGACAACAATTTAGCACCGTTCATTCAGCACCGAATTTCGAGACGAACGCATTTTCGGTTCGTTTTATCGACTTCATATCTGTTTAATATGCAGTAGCGTATCTGTTTTAAAAACTATTTCAGCAATAATTAACGCAATAGTTGTGGTGTTTTGTCCATCATTATCAGTATTATTATTATCGTGATTTATTTAGTGAAAGAAATGACTGGATAAATGAATGTTCATTTGAGGAAACGAATCCGTTTCTGAATTCGACGAATCAGAAATTTGAACTGCCGTCACAGACTCAGCCAGATCCGTTCGATACTCAAAAAGCGCAATCGATCATCGAATTCATCAACAATAAGTCGAAGCAACAAAATCAATTCAACAATACTTTTAACTCGAATTCCACCTCATTTGCTGATTTCGATAATGAAAACAAGTTGGTGATTTTGTCTGTTGTGGTGTTTTTTGGGGAGCATTGCTGGCAGTGTATCAGTCAAATATGTTTATAGATGAGTGTTGTTCTATGCATATTTCTACTTTAACAAGAGTCTAACAAGACTGCATATTTTTTAATCAACTCGGTAATAATAACGATATTCATTCGGTTGAATGATCGATGGTAAATTTTAAGGATGACGCGTTCACCTTGCAAATCAAAACCGGATACAAATCACCCGAAGGTGACAACATTAGAAGAAGCATTCACGAAGTTGGTTGATATGGATTCATTGATGAAGCAGTCGTCACATTCATCTGATATTGTGAACAGTAAAAGCAACGTCACCAATACGAATCCTTTCAGTGTTATTCTCAGTCCACCAAAAGTACCGTTATCGGCGATGCCTTCTTCTTACAATCCGTCACCTCTGATTAACACAAGCACTGTAGCATCCTCACACCAAGCCATACCCTATTCAGCATCTGCACCATTCGTTTCTTCGCTTCAGAGTAATACCGCTATCACTAACAATGACCCTTTTAATGACGCTTTCTTTCGCTGAGTTCGTTTCTTTTTTTATTCCTTCCCTAGAGTTCGGTTCATTATTATTTCTTCATTTCTTTCGTAAATATGGAGGATGATTGATTCGATTGCAGCAGTTTTACTTTGACTTCGTAAGTGAAACGAAGCAGAGATGGACACACCATATTGCATTCATAATATCTCGTTTCATTTCTTGCACAGTGCCTTTGTTTGATATTCTACTGAGAATGTTTCGAGCATATAATTGATCCATTCATTTCAAGCAACAATTGGATATTGACTGTCAATCAGATTCATTCGAACAGATAAACATGAAGATAAACATCGTCCTGTCGCAATATTGTCCTCGACTGAACTTGCATTCACTACCGTTCTAATGTGCGATTTAATCGTCATTATATGAAGTGCATATCACATCCAACCACAGCCACATTTATCCTATCTGTACCTTCTATGTATCAACTTTCTTTTACATAATCTTTCTCACTTGATCCAGTCCGACTCATCCTGATATTTCTTATGGAGTGAGCGGGTTGTATTTTTCGTTTATTCTGGTCTGTTTATAAATGTGTTTTAAGCAGGAATTTTAAGCTGTGATTCAATTTTACTGTAGTTCAGTTTCACTATTCTTCTATGGAATATTTCTTTACTTTCAACTTCATTGGTGCTGATTACGTAAAATATTTGCATTTGTTTTGTAAAGATTATACTTTGTCATTTTGATTGAATTTTTGAAACGAAACATAATTTGTAAATTCCTTTATTCATTTATTACTATTCGTCTCATTTCATCGTTCTTTTAAGGACCATTCTAAATTAAGAGTTGTTTCGTATCCAGTAAAAGAACGTTCCTTTATAAGGCGTTTGCTGCGTTCAAAGTTGATTATTTGCTCTTTTCTCTTTTTTTGGAGACAACTTCTGCGCAATATCTATTAAATAAGTAACTTTATTTGTCACTTACCTGATTTGCGTACTCCCATCATTGTTGTGTTTTCATGTGGAGTTATTGTCGTTATTGTGCAGCTGTTGTCTTCAACAAATTGATGAATTAATTATTACCGTGAAATGTGCGTCTATTCAGCATAAGTTTAATGTGCACATGTAAGGTGAAGTGACGCAATAAGATCACCTTAAATATACCACATGAACCATTAAAAAAAATGTGGTAG